TTTATAAAAAATCTAATGACACAATACGTCGAATAGATTGGCTTAAAAAAAAGTCACACTGAATGTATTATATATTTAAAAAAAATAGAATACATTTCCGAAACTTTTCCTTCGGAAACTTTGATATTAAAGTAGCTCTACCCTTCGGTCGGACTACGCTGTACTTTTGGATATTTTCAGTTTTTAAATTTTTCAACTAAATTGCACTGATAGAATGATTCATTTATTTCAAACGAGATTTTTAACTATTAACGAATGAACATTTGGTGAGACCGAATAGACCCTAACCTCCAACCAAAATCCATTCGTTAACAATAACTAATTCGTTCTATCCGTGTGCATGGAAAAAATTTGAATAAATTCATACCCAGTCAGTATTATCTAAATTAAATGTCGCAAAATATTAATATTTTTTCAAACATTTCCCTCTTATAAATAAATAATAAAACTTGTTTGCAAAACGGTGGATTATTTTTTACGAGGAGTCAAAAAAATTCTTGATTTTTTCACGTCTAATGAAAACAAATTCATATTTTAATCTTTGATTACAATGGAAATGTTGATTTTCACATACGACACTGGGTTGAATCCTGATTTTTAAACATTTCTTCTTTGAAAAATCAAAACGATAATTGAATTGAGAAAAAAATAAGAATTCCGAATATAATCGATTTTTCAGCAATTTTTTTGCAGTTTTCAATAATCTTTGAATTTATTGTAAGGGTAGAGCTACTTTAATTTCGGAAATCTAATATAAGATTATTTACTACAATTGACATACNTAAAAAAAATAGAATACATTTCCGAAACTTTTCCTTCGGAAACTTTGATATTAAAGTAGCTCTACCCTTCGGTCGGACTACGCTGTACTTTTGGATATTTTCAGTTTTTAAATTTTTCAACTAAATTGCACTGATAGAATGATTCATTTATTTCAAACGAGATTTTTAACTATTAACGAATGAACATTTGGTGAGACCGAATAGACCCTAACCTCCAACCAAAATCCATTCGTTAACAATAACTAATTCGTTCTATCCGTGTGCATGGAAAAAATTTGAATAAATTCATACCCAGTCAGTATTATCTAAATTAAATGTCGCAAAATATTAATATTTTTTCAAACATTTCCCTCTTATAAATAAATAATAAAACTTGTTTGCAAAACGGTGGATTATTTTTTACGAGGAGTCAAAAAAATTCTTGATTTTTTCACGTCTAATGAAAACAAATTCATATTTTAATCTTTGATTACAATGGAAATGTTGATTTTCACATACGACACTGGGTTGAATCCTGATTTTTAAACATTTCTTCTTTGAAAAATCAAAACGATAATTGAATTGAGAAAAAAATAAGAATTCCGAATATAATCGATTTTTCAGCAATTTTTTTGCAGTTTTCAATAATCTTTGAATTTATTGTAAGGGTAGAGCTACTTTAATTTCGGAAATCTAATATAAGATTATTTACTACAATTGACATACATTAAAGTAGCTCTACCCTTCGGCCGGGCTGCGCTGTACTTTTGGATATTTTCAGTTTTTAAATTGTTCAACTAAATTGCATGGAAAAAGCTTGAAAAAATTCATACCCAGTCAGCATTATCTAAATTAAATTTCGAAAAATATTAATATTTTTTCAAACATTTCCCTCTTATAAATAAATAATAAAACTTGTTTGCAAAACGGTGGATTATTTTTTACGAGGAGTCAAAAAAATTCTCGATTTTTTCACGTCTAATGAAAAAAAATTCAGATTTTAATCTTTGATTACAATGGAAATGTTGATTTCCACATAAGACACTGGGTTAAATCCTGATTTTTAAACATTTCTTCTTTGAAAAATCAAAACGATAATTAAATTGAGAAAAAAATTAGAATTCCGCATCTAATCGAGTTTTCTCCAATTTTTTGCAGTTTTCAATAATCTTTGAATTTACCGTAAGGGTAGAGCTACTTTAAGCCCCATTGCGTAGGACATAGCACGCGAACTAATCCGGTAAGGGAAATTGAAGCTAGAAAAGTCGGTGAAAACGTTGAAGTCATCATCATTAAATCATTTTCATAAAATGTGCAATTTCAGAAAAAAATTAAACCATGAAAATTATGATCATCGACGTCGTTCAAATCATTGAAATCATCATCATCATTCAAATCATTAACATTGCCATAATTAAAGACTTGGAAACCGCTGAAGTCATCAACATCATCATCAAAATAATTAAATTCATCAAAACCAATAAATAAAAAAAAAGAATTTAAAAAAATCTAAATCATTAAAAAAAGACAATTTTTCCGGCTTCTTCAATTATTCCAAAAATTCAGAATTCTCGTTTCAATGATTATAATATTCTAATGACGTCAAAGATCTCAGAAATGTCGTCATCCCTCGAAAGAATTCAATAATGGATTTTTCACATATGCATAATGCATTCCGGCAATAATTGCAGTCATCCTATTGAGAACAATAAGAAAAAAATTAAACATTGCACTTCAAAACGAGCAACCGATACGCTTTTATCACTTTTTCCCCTCTTTAACACGAATTTCGTACAATTGCTGATTGTTAATGTATAGTACATAACAATGTATCCAAATTGAGAAGTGTAACAATTTTATCAATGAATTGTCTCGACAATAATTAATGCCAGACGAGAAAAAAAGCCGCTTCATTAAAAAATTCTCCTAAAATTCCGGTTTCCCCGTTAAAATTTGACCCGTGGACAGGCTGTAAAAGCTCACCACCTGAGTAACCACAGAATAATGAGGCGCGTCGTTTTTCTTTAATTACTATTGACAGGCTAACCGGAAAAATTGAAAAAAAAATTGACTTTGTCAATTGAAATGTCTAAAAAATTATAAAAGTTTTTAGAACAAGATATTTTCCAAAATCCCTACAGAAAACAAATTATTTCGAACAGATGAATTATTTTTTCCCATGTTAAATGAAATTGTTCATGATGCCACGTTGCCGGAAACTCCCAAAACGCGCTCGGGCAGTGTAGAGTGAATTCGGCAACGCTAAAGCCGAAATAGCACGGCGACGAATCCCCGCCGAGGTGACCAATCGCAGGGTCGCGTTTTGTGACCAGATTAGGGTCAAGGTGTTTCGGTTGATAAGTCAAAATAATGAAAAAAAAAAATTGGAAAATTCGTGGGAGAAATTTCTAACTATGCTGCATTCTTGAGAATTCTTGTACATTTTCTTTAGGTCTCAGTTTCGAGAAAAAAAATAATGAAATTTGGATGTTTTTGTAACCCCTCCAGCTATAACCTCCGAGATTACCCCACTCTCAATTAGGGAAATTTCCATGGCACCCAAAGAAATAATGAACTATTGAGGAAAAACTAGTGGGTGATAAATCAAATCTTTCTTGAGAACACCTATGAGTTTCAGCTTTTTTTCAGATTACATAAGAAAGTTATTTGAACAAATGATTCGGAAAATTATTAGTTTCGGGGCAATTACGCCCTCACGCGCAGGCGCGTGATTTGAATGTCAGTGAGCATCATGGGAAAGGAATGGGTTGGACCATGGAACTGAGAGAGAGAAAACACTCGACCGGTTTACCAACTCGAAACGCATTTTAATATTATTTCAATAATTAAAATAGCATCCAATAAAAATTATTTGACACCCGTAGGTGATGAGAATAAAATCAATCAATCTGATAAGCAAAATCAATATCAAAAAATGTTCAAATGCACACTTAAATAGTTACTTGAAAATTGGATAATTTCGTGCTCAGCGATTGAATCAGGGCTCGAGAACAATAAGACTCCCTTCCGTTTCACCCTCCCATGATCTACACACGAAACACTTCAATGAGATTTGAAGTCTAGAAAAAAGGGGATAGATTTGAGAAATTGATTTTCGTAACGGCTATCATTGATTGGATGATGACAAATTGATTGTTCCTAGGGAAAATTTCTACAATCAATAATTCATTAATTTTATTTTTATCAATTAAAAAAAACGAATAATATGAAGTGGGGCATTTCATTGGAGAAAAATACTCTTCGTCTATTCTATAAACTCTGCTGAGGATTTCCCCTAGAAAAAATTGCTTCAACTACTTGGATATCCTTAAGGATGTACTATACACCCTTTCGGCTAAAATTCACATTTTTTTTTCATTTTTCTGGTAAATTATTGATCGGATTGACGCGAAATAATATGCCGTTTTGGCGTTTGATCATTATTGACAGACTCACTAAGTTCCATGGTAGTGCAATCATTTTCCTGCATGTTTTCTAAAGTTTTGTGAATTTCCGAAAAGTTTTAGAAAAAACGCAGGAAAATGATTGCACGATCGTAAAATTTCGGGAGTCATTAAGTAATAATAAAACTCATAAACGGTATATTTTTTCAGGCCAATCCGATCAGCAATTACCAGAAAAATTCAAAAAACGTGAATTTTTGCGAAAAGGGTGTATCACATCCTTAAGCTTTTTCCAGTTCACATAATATATTTCAATAATTTCATCCTCAAAAAAAAAATGCCCAAAATATCCCTATTATGATTTATCGACATTCTCATCTTGAAATATTATTGAGACACTCATGTCCCGACATTCTGACGTTCGCTAGTATTTCCCGAGAATTAGATGTTTGTAAATATCTCTGTTGCTATTGCTTCGATAGACAATTTACCTGAAACCCAACGAGAATAAATCAACTCCTAAAAAACATCTGAATAAAGTTCATTTCCTCAAGGAATTTTCTCACCCGTGTTATCCCTCGTCCTTCCTCTCCCTCTCATTGACATTAACTCAAGGTCACTCCCGTCCCCTCTCACTCCCACTCCACTCTAATTTTTGCATCTTCGTGGAACTGGTTACGCTTGAGGTATAAATTTCGGGGGAGGGGGAGGGTCACTTCCCATATAGCGCCCACCCCCCTCCCCCCTCTAGAGCTGAGGAGGTTGTTCTCAGTATTGCATAAAAAGAGGAGTGGGTGAGTGAGTGAGTTAGAAAAAAAAATCTGGCGCGCTTGGCGAATATACCTACTGAGCGGAATACGGAAAATAACGACAGTTGATGCCGAACCACTTATCGGCACACAACGCACATTTGCGCTGTCGGATATCGAGTGGTGGATAGTCAATGTTGGCGGTCATAACGTCCTGTTATTCGAGTTTTGGTTGAGAGGAAAAATAGGGATACGGACAGAGGATAAAGGTAATTTCCTTGGGCAAGGGCAAGAACCTTGCGAGTGATAGTGCCACTTGGAAACTGGTTTTCCACGGGTCCTTGGGGTTGGTTGGGGACTTAAGGAGGATTCGATGCGAGAAGGTGCAGTGGTAACGAGGATTTCAGGGGGACAGTGAGTTTTTCGGGATTTTACAACAGTTGTTGGAGTGATTTTGGGGATATCCTGCGAGAGATTGTGGAAATCATAATGTTTTTTTGAATATTCTTTGATTTCATAACTCGAACACGTTTTTTTTTTCAATCCAAATTTTTATTTGATGAAAAAAAATGAAAAAAATAATTTTGGAAACGGCTGATTTTTCAATCCAATTTTTTCCGTGGAAAATTTTTATTGAAAAACAATCTGAAAAATGATTTTTTTTTCAATCCAATTTTTTCTTCGATGAAGAAAAAATAATTGTCATTTATTTCATTTGACAGAAAAAAAAGAAATTTTTTTTGCCTTCAAGTCGTTATGGTTACGAGTTTGTCAATTGATGAATCAAAAACATTTTTTTTTTCAATCCAATTTGTTTTCGATGAAAAAATGTTATAAAAAAAAAATCTTGAAAATGATTTTTTTTTCAATCCAATTTTTTCTTCGATGACGGAAAAATAGTTGTCATTTATTTCATTTGACAGAAAAAGAATGAGAACTTTTTTTTGCCTTCGATTTGTTATTTTTACAATTTTTTCAATTGAACAAAATGTAGATTTAACATTTGGAAGATTATTTTTAATAATGCCCATTAAAATTTGATTTACAACTTGTGTATAAGCTATCGATAATGAAACTCTTAACCAATAGTCACTTGTTGGTCAATAGTTGGAGTTTAGTGAACTATAGCCTGTCATTAATGTCGACGAATACGCATTCGTGGATCAATCACCGAAACATTTATGCAGGTTTCAACGAAACCATAGGAGATACATTCGTGTTAACATTACGTGACTCTTCACAATTAGTTTCGCTGGGGGATAATTCGTATAATCGCGTTGCTCTGATAGTAATTGTAGTAACATTCTCCGTAAATTCAGCATTTTATATTTTCCATTATTTCGTTTTTTAATTTTTTTAGATTTGAACGTCAGTTTCAAACAATATTTTCAACTCTCGACATTAATTATTGATGATTAATAATTGTTTATAATTATTGTTCATTTCCCATAATTTGGATGAAAAAAAAAGTAAAAATGAGTTTTTTCCTTTCATTTTTGCTGCTAGATAATTAATTTATTTCTGCAATTGATAATTAATTTATTTTGGTTATTGTAAAAATTGAAAATTCATTTTTTCTTCCCATAATGACTATAATTATTCTACCCTCATTATTTCTATTAATCCAAACCTCTGAAGTAAGACAACGAGTCATAAGAGATACCATTCAATCTCCAACCGGCATTCGTGCATGAGTTAATGCGGAAGTAGGTCACATGATATTTCGTGAATCTGCTGTGGATCGACGTGTCTATCCCCGATAATTCCATCAATATTATTTTTCGCGTCTCTACCCCAATTGCTCGCATCAAAATCCTAATTAAAAAAAGAAATTGAAAACGTTTTCCTTTTACACTTCCATCGGAATGTCCAGCAAATTTCCGATTCCAAACCCTGGTCATGAACCCATTTTGCCCCATCCGTTGCCGAGATATTAAAACTCGAAATTTTCCGAAAAAAATTCGATTATTTTCAAATGGCGGGGTAAAATGGATTCCGGACGAGTGTTTTGACTCAATGAATTGTTTATAATTCCAATTATAGTCCCAATTTATCAGCTGTTGAATTTTCTTACTGCACTAAAATAATTTGCCCATTCAATAAAATTTTAATCATAATTACAATTCAATTCCTTCTAGAACACACTTTGGAGTATGAATTTTTGGAATTCAATGTTTGTTGTTACTCTGGTAAAAGTGCCCACACTGTTATCAATATTTCGTTAGTTCACAAGGTAATTCAGTTAATCTGTCGTTCACCTCATCAATATAATTCCGCGTTTAGAATATTGTCATCTCGTGTTTTTAGCGCCAAATTAAAAATTAAAATTTCATTTTTGTCACATTCATGGACGCGTAGCTTACAGCCGTTAAGACAAAAAATATTGTTCGTCGTATGGCCTAAATAGTATATTTCGTCATTAGGGGGAAAAAAAATTTTTTCCCGCTTTGCTCCGCGGGAGGAAAATCTGCGTTTCCGCCTACGCCGTGACGAAAAATACCGTTCTCCCCACGGGAGGTAAAATAAAGGACCTTTACCCACGTGCTTACCACCCTCGCCTTCCCTTGGTGGGAAATATACTATTCTGGCGAACATGAGTTTGCAATCATATGAGCTAGAAATTAGTATATGCCAGGGCGAGTGCCATGGGGTTTTTTACTCGCGTGGAGTTGGCGTCTGAGCCGAAGGCGAGGACTGGCCAACCACGCGAGTAAAAAAACCCATGGCACTAGGCGCGAACGATATTGTTTCGTAGTGATTTTCACTTTTACGAGTTTGGGGAAGGGCCAATACCAATCCCCGGATGAGGAAAAGTGAAGATCAGTACGGAAAAGTTCTTTTAGGCCGTATGACGAACTAGTATATTTCGCGTCGAGTGCCACTGGGGTTTTCGACGAGTGTAAGGTTGGTACGCCGAGCCGAAGGCGAGTCGTGCCAATCACAAGACTCGAAAACCCCTGTGGCACTAGGCGCGAACGATATTTTTCCGTAGTGACTTTCACTTTCGCCAGTTCGGGGAAGGGTCAGTGCCAATCCCGACTGGGGAAAGTAAAGATCAGTATGGAAATAGTATATTTCGTTACGAGTGCGGAAAAGAGTTGTTTGGCTCGTGGGAGGTTTATAGCACGAGTCGAAGGCGAGTGACATAATCCCACGAGCCAAAAAACACTTTTCCCACGAGTATCGAACGATATTTTTCATCACAATGTGTGGAAAAGGGATGTTTTGAAAAAGTAAAAAGTTACTTTTTCGCACAGCGTGATGAAAAATATTTTTTGTCATAACGGCTCTAAGCAGTGATGCCTTACAGCCGGAATGAAAAAAAAAATTTTTCTAGCTCATATGATGGCAGCCCGAGCCGAAAGCGAGGGAAGAAACTCATATTCGCCAGAAAATTTTTTTTCGGCCTAGGGACGAAATATACTATTGGAATATTGAATCACAGATCCTTTTTATTCATATCAGAATGTTGTATTTGAATATTAACATTCAAAATGTCAAATTTCACCGGTTTTCCGTTGCACGGGTTAACTTGCCAACGCGGCCATCGCCCGAGGGCCTTTAGCCAGGGAATGTTGAATGTGGAGTGGGATTTTTCACTTGGAAAATCTGTGGAATATTCGGTTTGAAAGTTGTGTTAAATTTTCAGATGAATATTATGTGAAAATTTGTGATGAAAAATTGGTGTGGAATTTTGGTCCGGCCGGGGCTCGAACCTGGGAGCTTGGGGTTGTGAATCTCATGCTGCTACCAAGTGTGCCACACAGTCGGGTTATTAACATTATTTATTTTTCACTACATTGCATTCAGATTCTCCTATCCCTAACGTCAAAAATATGAAATGATCTCATAATTCTAGCTGTTAATTCTAATCAACTTTGTTCGAAGAAAACCTTAGTACACGCAATTTTCAGAAAGTAGGATTATTAGATTCTCCTCAGATCTAAATGATTTGGACAATTCAGTAGCGAAGCGGTAAACCGGGGGGTGAGTCAATTTTACTTTTGGCCAGTTTTTGATGAATATCTCGGAATCTCAGAGAGATAGCAAAATTTTCCTCACGACCTTTTTTATAATTTCAATTGGCTCTACAAAAAAGGCTGTGACAAAAATTTGTCTATCTCTTTTAGATTCCGAGATATTCGTCAAAAACTGGCCAATAGTCAAAATCGACTTCACCCGGTTTACCGTTTCGTTACTGAATTATGATTCGTTTATTCATGTTTCATAGAGTATTTAATGAAACATGATCCGTTTATTCATGTTTCATGGTATGGTATTCAATTTTCCTCTGTTTATCAGGCGGGCTTCCCGAGTGGAAATTCAAATTAGAATAGAATAAGAGACTGACCAGTAAAAACAGATTTTGATCAATTTTGGATCAGAAATGTAACGCTTGTTTGGGTCTATGCCTGGTCAAAATTCTAGGATTCGATCTTCCTGAACAGTACCGGATCCGATACGGATCTAGTCGAGATTTGACTGATCAGAATAGGATCACAATTCACTCCGCCACAATGGATACAGATACTCCATTCAGAATCTCATCAGATCCTGATCCGAAAGTCTAATCAATAAACTCTGACCAGTATGGAACCTAAAACTAATGTAAATCCAAACTAACTGAGTGAAATTTCCACTCGGGTTCATGAAAATTCGACGTAAGACGATTGCACTCATGAAAACCGCCGTGCTCTCTCCATTCGTTCGAGATACGCGCCGCGTTCGAGCTCTCATTTTCGATTCAAGATATTGTCAATACTTTTTTTTAGAAAGGAAAGGAAAAAATATTGAAATATTTAAAAAACTGAAATTATAAAAATAAATATACTTCTATTGCCCTCTAATCGCCAATTCTTTTGCCCACGATAATCATCACGACGATTTAAAGGAAAACCTCATCACTAATGCCGCAGGGTCACAGTTAGTTAACCGCACGACAATGACAATTCCAATGATGCAACGTTTCGCAAAGAAAAAAACAACGTCAGCCGTAGTTATTTATTCTTCCAACATGATATAAATCTTTGTACAGTAACTGCATTAACATTCACCGATTGTGTCCACTGCATGCAACGAAATGCGATATAAAAAATCCTCGCTTACACGGGAATGACGAAATGATGACGATAATATCGGTTTCCGTGAGATTTTCACGGAGAAAAATGTTCAGTAAAAATTACGGAACTCACAATTCGCTCACCGATTACGGAATCGACTCAGAAAATTTAAGTGACGGTAGGGTAAGTACCCAGTAGATGGACACTGCCCTATAAATGGACGAGCTACTTTTGGATAGGAAATTACGAAAAAAAATACTGAAATGTGAATTGTTGCCTTGAATTTTCATTAACTGTTGTGATTCTTAACCCCTGAGTGACGATTTTTTTTTGGATCATTCTTTTCAATTGCTAAAAAACAAACGTCCATCTACTGGGCTATCATAATTTTTCACAGGAGATTCAGGTAAAAATTACGGAACACTCTGCACGGAGAGAAATATTCAATAAACATTACTAGAAAAAAGACGTAAAAATTACGTTTCGAAACGTAATCTGGGAGCGGAGTAAAATTCAATAAAAAGTGTCAATCGTCACTTAAATTCTACGATCTGTTCCGTAAAAATTACTCATCTGTTCGACGCCTCACGGCTAGCCATGAGTCACCGTGAGGGGGAGATTTTAACAACACGTTCCGTAATTTTTCCGGAACTTTTCGTAAAAATTCTTAAACATCCAAGAATTTTCATGTTCTGAGGCATAATAAGTCTTGAAGTTTCTGTTAGATTTTACAAGTTCCAGAAAAATTACGTGACTTTTTCGTATTTTTTCGGTGACAGACCCGAAAATTTACTGAACGTTTCAGATTTATTCTCTTATATTCTTATAGAAATTGACTGAATACGATTCTCGCTTGCGGATTACGTGAAATGGTCCGTCATTTTTCTTGAATATTTCTCTCCGTGTGGAAAAATTCCGTGACAGTTACGTAAAAATTCCTACAATCACATTTCGCTCCAGAATTACGCAAAAGATTCGTAATTTTTATTGAATATAATTCTCTCCGAGAATTGAGAGGAAAACCGTGAACAGGAAAATTTATTTTCATCATCACAAGTTGGATGGAAGTCATTGCCGATGGCGAGATGAACGTGTTGTAAACCTTCATGATCTCCTAATGATTATGGATTCAGCAATGACAATAAATTACTTTTTATTGAGAGAATGAGAGCTATGAAATGATAAAGTGTCGTAATTGAATCAATGGGTTTCATTGATAAGTTGAAGCGGTATTTCTCGATGCCAGTGGAGGATTTTTTTTTCATGATTAATGATTGTGGAAAAATGGCAGGGTTTTATCAAAAAAAAAAAGTTCAAAGTTTTTTTTTTATTTGTTTATGACTGATGCGAATATTTTTGTATTTTTTTATCCATCCACTTTCATGTATTCTTTTTTGCGTTTTTTCCTGTCTTCTTTATGTTTCTAGTTTTATAAGTCGATATGTTTTTGCGTTTTATTAAAAAAAATATCTAATTGCAGTCTAATTACCCCTAATTGTTTTTTTTTATTTAGCACAAAACCAGTAATTTTATACAGCTTTTCATACAAAAAAAAAGAAAGAAAAACAAATAAAACAAAAATTTTTTTTTCGTTTACAATACTTCAACATTCTAGGTTTCGTCATCAGGTAAAACAATTTGTTGAATCTCAAGAAGAAATTAAACATTGATTTTACAGACTCTGAGAAAATCGGAGACAATTTGAATACATTTTAGATTTAATTTTTTAAAGGTGGAATCGCTTACCCCCTAATTGTAAAATTATCAGTAGTAATATCCCGAGAGCTTTAAAATGATCGGGTATTTCTCGATAGCTTCGTTGCAAACAAATGCGAGTGTAAAGTCAGGTAGGTTTAAAAATCCCGAGCGCGAAGCGCGAGGGTTTTTTTTACAAAACTTGACACGATCGTTTGTTTGCAGGGAAGGTTGAGGGAAATACCAGATGCATTTTGAAACTCGAGGGGTATTTGGAAGAGTATTTCCTCCATCGGAATTTCGGTCAGTGGAGGGCAGCATTTGATGTCAATGTGGTACAACCTACACATTCGCATTTCAATTATTTTGCTTATTCTCCCTTAGCAACGTGCCGTGGTTTTATCAACTTTTACCGATATAAACCCGTAAAGGTTGTACCACGTGACACCAAATGCGGCCCTCCTATTGGCCCAGATTCCGATGAGGGAAATACTCAGTAGTAATATCCCAAGAACTTCAAAATTATCGGTTATTTCCCGATAGCTTCGTTGCAAACGAATGAGGGTGTCAAGTTTTGCAGGTTAAAAAATCCCGGGCGCTGCGCGAGGGATTTTTCTGCAAAACTTGGCACGATGGTTTCTTTGCACGGGAGTTTGAGGGAATTACCCGATTAATTTTGAATTTCGAGGGGTTTTTGTCAGCTTATTTTTTCCAATCGGATTTTGGCCAAGCAGAGTGCAGTGAACAACATCAGAAGGTGAATTGGGGAAGATTTGAACAAATTATGTTCCTATTTACTAAAGATGAACAAAACGTGAAGTTGTTTTATATCGAAATATCTCGAAACTGCCTGACCGATAATCCTTAATTCTGATTGGTCAATATGTGACACGAAGTTATTCACAAAAAAACACGCGACATTTTCAAATTCTTCAGTGACATAATTTCAAATTCTTCAGAGGTAAATTTTTTTTTCACGTCATATATCCATATAATATATATACTTTACATGTATATATATTATCGGTGAAATTAATAAATTCCGTCCTTTTATGGAGACCGATTATTTTAAAAAATTGAAGATAATTATGAAAATGAAAAATTCTTTATAGATTCTTTTACTCTACTTCGCTATTCACTTCAATCATTAGTCGAATTCTCTTTGATTCATTATCAATATTTATAAGGTATTCATGAGAAAATGAAATTCAATGAATTCCATTTCTTCATTTCAACAAATGAATAGATCAGCGCACGCGAGAGCGCGCGCATAGATCTTGTAATAGAAAAACCCGATTTCCATAGACTGTCAAATATAAGATTCTATCTGAAATGAGCCGAAAAAATGAAGAGCTAGTGCAAAATATTCAGGCAAAAAAAAAATGAAGAACTACTGCGAAATATTCAAAAGCTAGGAGGAAATATCTGAAATAAAACTATCGGGTAGCCTCAAATACTGCCCTCTGATTGGTCGAAATCCGATTAGGAAAAATAATCTCTGTAATTATCGAACTTGGAAAAAAAACCAGAAGACCTTTTCGATCGAGAATTCAATTCTCTACGAAGAAGGTCTGTAGTATTTTCCGCTAACCCCACTCATTCTCTCACTAATTCTAAGATTCTAAAAATTCCTATTTCTCAATTTTTCCAGCTGACCATCAAATGTTCTGGCGAACCTCAGGTAGAACCGAAGAATTCCGTAAAGTTGAAAAAGTACAAACAATTAGCAGAAGTGAGTAAGACGTCAAGTAATTACTGAGGTTCACCTTCAGTCAGCCTCATTATCCCCAAAGCTATTACCCATCAATCGCAAGATGAGTGAGGGATGAAAAACCGAGTCCTTGAAACACATCAATTAAAAGACATTTATAAAACGACGGAGAACGTCTGAAGCGTAATTTCCTCACTCAAAGACGACTCATAGATCCTTGAGCCGCAATGTATCAGCGAACGGTTCAGATTAATCTCCCAAAAGCGCATACCATTGACGTAGAGTTCAAGGATGTCATCTGGGAAGTGCGAACCGGTTTCCGTAAACCAAAGAAACCAGTACTGAAAGGTGTCAGTGGTTGCTTCAAATCTGGGGAACTCACGGCGATTATGGGACCGTCGGGAGCTGGAAAGTCTTCCTTGCTCAATCTTTTGACTGGTACTTGATCTTATTCGATAAATATCTCCGAAACTAATGAATGCTGTTGAAAACATCAAAAGATCACTTTCATCTGAAATTTTCCGGACTGCAAAAAAAATCTGTCCCGTGAGGATCTAAATTTAGGGCGGATGTGGGAGGTGTTGTTACAGGATTGGCCGGAAAACAATAAGACATGTCACAATGTATATACATTTTACACATAACATCTTCACTAATATACTCTTAGAAACAAGAATTCAGTAGCGAAGTGATCAAACGGTTAAAGTCAATTTAGTCTTTAGTTGAGTTTTCCAGAAATATTTCCGAATTTAAGGGAGCTAACGATATTTTCGTCATAACCTTTTTTGAAGAGCGAATTGAGTGCTACTAAAAAGATTATGAGAAAAATTTTGCTATATCCCTTAGATTTCGAGATATCCATTGAAAACTGGCCAATAGCTAAAATCGACTTAAACCGCTTGACCACTTTGCTACTGAATTGATTGTTGTCTTGTGGCATTTTGCTTATTACAACCATAAATTTTCCCAATCTTCATATTCCCCACAAAAAAAAATACTTTTCTGTACTGCTTCTCATGATTTCTCGTCTGGGAATTGGTATTACATAATTCCCAAACTCTAAAACTTGAAAATCACTACAGAAAAATATTGTTCCTGGACTGTTGCGATGGGGTTTTTTTACTCGTGAGGTTGGCCAGTCCTCGCCTACCGCTCCGAGGCCAACGCCACACGAGTAAAAAACCCCATCGCAACAGGCCGGAAAAATACTATTTCAAGTTATTTTTCAATTGAATAAGTCATATTTTTTATGTTACCAGATTTGTCACTAGTAAGAATTTAAAATTTCCATCACTAGCTGATCATCGAAAAACACCAGATTTAGGGACAGTCACCAAAACGGCAACACTATATTGCAGTCGGCTCCGTATAACATAATGGTGGGGGAAAAGGACTTTAGTTTTCGGGGTTTTCGCGATTGTCTGACCGTTGAGCCGAAGGTACCCGACGGTGCTCGAAGATTGTCGATAGGGCCGAGCGTTTGACCGATAGATATATAGCTACGTTTCAAAGAAGATCTTCTGACCTTTTTGGCTAAACCCGATAGTTTCGGAGATATTTGCAACCAAGTTCAGTTCCGAAATTCGTATTTTACACTTCCAAATCTCTTGACTTAACGATCACCCCAGGTTTCCACGAGACCGGCTCCACAGGGACAATTGAGTACGTAACCAGTACCGGCAAGCAGAACTACAAAGACTACAGGAAGGCGTGCTGCTACATCCAGCAAGACGACCAGCTCCACGGTCTCTTCACGACGTTAGAAGCCATGAGGATGGCGGCCGACCTGAAGCTCGGCAACAGCCTGAGTCAGAAGTCCAAGGACCTGCTGATTGACGACATCCTGGAGACCCTGGACCTCATAAAGACCAAGGAGACCCGCTGCGACAGGCTGTCCGGCGGCCAGAGGAAGCGATTCTCCATCGCCCTGGAGCTAATCGACAATCCTCCGGTGATGTTTCTGGACGAGCCGACCACCGGTCTCGACTCATCCTCGACCCTGCAGTGCATCGCGATGCTGCAGCACCTTGCACGAGGCGGCAGAACGATCGTCTGCACAATCCACCAGCCGTCGGCGGCCATCTACGAGATGTTCGATCACATCTACCTCGTGGCCGACGGCCACTGCATGTTCCAAGGATCCCCCGCCAACACAGTCCCCTACTTCGGCAGCATCGGCCTTCATTGTCCAAAATACCACAATCCCGCTGACTACATGATCGAAGTTGTCAGCAAGGAGTACGGAAACTTCAGCGAACAACTGATAGCCGCAGCCTCAGGGACCAAATCCTGGAGATCTGGCTACATAAAGAAAGCTTTCCTCGTCACCAGCTTCTCCCGAAAGAACATCGAGCAGAAAGCTGTGGTAATAGTCACTCCCCCCTCCGAGTGCCTCAGGTTCTCAGTCCTCTTCAGAAGGTGTATAATACAGCTGTACCGAGACTGGACAGTCACCCATCTTAAGATAGTCCTTCATTTATTGGTCGGAGTTCTTCTCGGGCTGTTCTACGCTGACGCCGGGGCCAATGGCTCTAAGACCGTCAACAACTGCGGCTTTCTCATGGTGACCGTCGTTTATCTGTGCTACACTAGCATGATGCCGGCTGTTCTCAGGTTTCCGTCGGAATTGCCTGTCGTTAAGAAGGAAAAGTTCAATAATTGGTATCAATTGAGGACCTACTACATGGCGCATCTCATTGCTAATCTTCCCGTTCAGATGCTCTTCGCTTTCGTCTACTCATCGGTCTCCTACTTCATGAGCTCACAGCCTCAGGACTGGAGCAGGTTCTTCATGTTTCTGATGAGCGCCACGTCGACGACCATCATCTCCGAGAGCTTTGGCCTGCTCCTCGGGACCACCCTCAACCCCATCAATGGCACCTTCTTAGGGGCCATCGCCTGTTGCATGTTGCTGCTCTTCGCTGGATTCTTTGTATTCTTCAAGCACATGCCTGCCTTCATGTATTATGTCACCTATCTGAGCTACATGAGGTACGCCTTGGAGGCACTGGTACAATCGATCTATGGGTATGATCGAGAGAAATTGCCGTGTCCTGAGGAGGAACTCTACTGTCATTATCGGGCCCCCAGGACCATTCTTGAGGAGCTTGACATGAAGGACGTCAACTTTTGGCTGAACATTGGAATTCTTGCGGCTAATTGCGTGGTTCTCAGGGTGGTTGGGTACTGCACCCTCAGGAGGAAGATAGCCGCTTCGTGAAGGGTGAGTCAGATTTATTTTGGAAATTATTTCACGCTTGTGATGAGAGTTTCTTGGAGAAAGAGAACTTTTTAAAAACTAAAAAACTCAAAGAGAATTGGAATTTAGAGAGAAAAAAATCCGGCACCACTCAGCCGGGCTGCGAATCCGGGTCTCCCCACTGACCTATCGGGAATTCCTGAAATTCAGTTGTCCGTGATATTATTCTCCCAAAATGATTTTTTTGTCATTTCGAAAAATGACAGAATAGTATATTTCGTAACGAGTGCAAAAAACATTTTTTCACGAGTTACGAACAATATTTTTCATCACAATGTGGCAGAAATTGGACTTTTAGGTACGCGGAGCGTGCCGAAAAGTTCACTTTTCGTCGCAGCGTGATGAAAAAAATGTTTTGTCATGAAATATTTTTTGTTATGACAAAAAATATTGTTCGTCATACAGCCTTAAAAAGCTTTTCTAGCTCATATGATTGCATAGTATATAGCTCATGTTCGCCACAATAGTATTTTTCGTGAGAAGGCCCGGTAAACCGCGATCTAACCGAGCGAAGCGAGGTTAGATTCTTCTGACGAAAAATTGCATTCATCACACGGTCCAAAAGTATTTTCTGACGAATGTGGCTTTGTAGGCCGAGCTGAAGGCGAGGCCTATAATCACATTCGTCAGAAAATACTTTGTGGACCTTGTGATGAAAATAACTATTTCCGGGCTGCTCCGATGGGGTTTTTTACTCGTGCGGCGTTGGCGTTCGAGCCGAAGGCGCGGACTGGCCAACCACACGAGTAAAAACACACGAGTTTGGGAATTATGCAATACCAATTCCTAGACGAAAAATCATGAGAAGCAGTACAGAAAAATTTTGTTTCGGTCTAATGACGAAATATACTATTAGAAGCGCAAGGCTGCGCTTTTCGATTAAGAATAATCAACATTAAGTTAAGAGAGACCGGTACACAAAAATCTGTCGGTCGTATTAAACGGGTCCAAATATGCTGAACAAAAAATTCCAATCATAGTTTTTGATCGGAAATTTTGAGAATTTTCCGAAAATTATGGCCTGCCCCCCCCCCCCCCCCCCCCCCC